AGAGTGTCCTACAAGAATGTCCCACAAGAGTGTCCTACAAGAGTGTCGTGTAAGAGTGTCCCACAAGAGTGTCCTGCAAGTGACCCACAAGAGTGTTCTACAAGAGTGTCTCACAAGAGTGTCCCACAAGAGTGTCCTACAAGAGTGTCCCACAAGAGTGTCCTACAAGAGTGTCCCACAAGAGTGTCCCACAAGAGTGTCCCACAAGAGTGTCCCACAAGAGTGTCCTACAAGAGTGTCCCACAAGAGTTTCCTACAAGAGTGACCCACAAGAGTGTGCTACAAGAGTGTCCTACAGAGTGTCCCGCAAGAGTGTCCTACAAGAGTGTCCTTTGGACATATTAGTTTTTCGATTGTGTTTGCATTCGGGTTCGTGGGTTCCATCTTGTTTAAAGACGAAGGGACACAGAATTTTTGGGAGATGAAGCAGAAGGTGGAGAGGTGGGAAGATGTGGGTGAAAATGAGGTTGGATGGTCCATGCGCAAGGTTCTTGATGTGAAGGGGTTGCAATGGCAAGGTTCTTGGATGTTCGTGGTATGGTCTCAAACCACCAGAATGTGGAGAAGAGGTGAAGATCTCTAAGCTCACACTAGGTTCCCTCCAACAGCGACCAGAGAAGGATTGGTATGACTCTTGATCAATAAGCCCCTCCCACACACGAAGAGGTTCCATTTGGTACAATCCAGATGGGGGGAGAGATTCATCAAGATTCTACATTTAAGGGAAAGGAATTTACACATTGTTGTTGGTTTCCTTTGTGATTTGCCGATTCGAACCATTCATGATCTTTCTAAACCAATGAATTAAGGGAACGCCCGTTTTGGACCTGCACTGAAAAGGGAGACGGGCCACGCTGTCTACGGCTCTACGGCCCCCAAACTTGTGGGGAGCGCTTCTCTCTCTCTCTCGTGTTTGGAAGCCCTTGGACGACCCATTGAAACAAAATGCTCTCGATGTTTACATTTTGATAGAGACAACGACCCGAATGTCCTCAGCTTGTGAAGCGAGATTATTGAACGCCTTCCTCTGCTGGATTGTGTTAGCAGCCTTGTCCCAGCTGCTGCTGTTCAATGGAAGGAGATGACATGGCCTTGAATCTAAACTCTGAAGGTGGTTGAAGCAGTTTGAAACATGCTTGCCATCTCCTTCTGCTTTCTTCGATATAGGTGTTGGAGCCCCTCAGAGGGCTCGGGTCTCCCAGATTTCAGAGACCCCCATGAACCTGCGGGGGTTGACAGGTGAGTGAATCTCCCAGGATGTTCATGACATGTTTTTTTCATATCAGAGGATGTTCATGACAGGTGGGATGAATATCCCAGGATGGTTGCATATCAGAGGATGAATGAATGAACGACAGGTGATTGATGGGTATGACTCAATGACAGGATACACACCGGCCCACATCGTCCAATCTTTCAGGCCTGGCTTTCTGGACAGTACCTAGGCGGGCCCACGTCTTCGCGATGCTTGTGCGTGACGTGCGTCACGTGCGCGTCGCGTGTGTCGTGGAGTGCGTCGTGGAGTGCGTGATCTATACGATGTCGATCAAAGACGCCATCCATGCCTAGATAATACATATCCATATCCCCTTAGGTTGGAGGATTCTTTTCCCAACAGATGTTCCACAAAACGAGAGCTTGGTAGCATGTTTTGTTGAAGAGGCCATAGATTCGTTTCAGGGAGGGACTCTGCCCCAGCGGTAACAGCGCCTCCCAAAAAACAGAGGGCGCCACTGGCAGAAACAGCACCTATCCATCCAAGCTCTTGGTATCTAAATATGGAATCTACCAGGAACCAGAGGCCAAATATAGTGGATATCATCTTTTATAGACCCTATACACAATGGTGGTAGCCGTTTTAGACACAGAGTCATTGGATTGGAATCCACCACCTTGTTTGTTCTTTTCTTTCTGGCTTGGAATCCCAGTCGAAGCCAATCATCCTTGACTGCAGGTCATTGCTTTGATTCGACCTTTGCCGGAGCTGTGTCCCACGGCCGCGCATTGCTTTGGTTTTTTCGGGGCATTGGAGCACACGCCCCGAGGTTTGCGGGTAGGCGGTGGGCATCGGGTAGACTCAGGTTGACCCCTCCGTCGATCTTTGGGGAGCTTCACGTGGGAAAAAATGAATTCTTCACAGCTCAGCTAGGTGATTCATTCATGCACCATCTCTTTTAGCTGCCCAACTTGGGAACCTGAGTTCCTCGGAACGTGGAACATGAAATGAACACGTCACTGTGGGCTTCAAGCATCTTCAAGCGACCAGAGCCCAAAAAGCTCTCCCGACATCCTAGATTTTATGACAAGCTCTCCTGTACTCAGGTTCCCAACGGAGAGCGTCAACATTCCAAGTTTTGCATCCGGGCTATCTCGTACGAATGCCAGGAACATCGTTGTTCGGTTTCGCCAATGAGACAATGGGTTTCATGGTCCCTTGGTATTGAACGCATCAGAAGATCTGACAGGGCCAGTAATCATTGGTTTGGGCCAAAGATCTGCCAGCTGAAGAACCAGACACAGATCATCGCTTCCATGGCGTTCGGGTATTTCTACCGACAGTCCGACGTAGACTCAAGAATTGGAAGAGAGGTCTGTCGTGACCTGCGGCGAAAACAGCCATTTGGGCAGGGTGTTGCCAACTACGACCTGGCGATTTGAGCCGTCCTGGGGTGTTCACTGACGCACCACGATGATGAAATCAGGTGCGGAATCACCGCTGGTGTGGCAGCCGTCCTTTGCTCTGAGGCTGTTCAGGCGCGGAATCACCACGTGTCGTGCTTTCCAAGCTTAAGTATACTCGTAACCAGCTCAAGTTTGCATAGAAGAAATTAATTAAGCACCACCCCTCTCGGCACGGTTCAACTCGGTGCTCTTTCAGCTTCCAGATCCCATGACAATCCGTGATCCATGATATCATGGCCATTCCATCGGTGTCTCCTTTTCATTCCCTTTCTATTTTCCAAACTTAAAACTGACATGACCAGCGGCTGAACCATCTTCACAGCTCGATCCCTTCAGGGAGCCGCTTTCAGCACGACACGACACGACACGTTCCGAGCTGCTGGGGACGCGTCGCGGTACGACGCGTGTGACGCGAATTCGGGACCGGTGCTGACCGGCCTTAGGCGCCGTTCGGTAGGCGCCGTTCGGTCCCGGCATTGGTGTTGTTTTGTTTATAAACCGGGTGGGTTAAAGATCCTGTCTGTGCATGTCGGCCGGCCAGGCCTTGCTCTCGTCGGAGGTGGCGAGTACTCCAAAGCCGAAAGCTGCCACTTGGATCATGTTGGATCGTAAGGATTTTTTCGGATGAGAACCACAGGGGAAACTTCAATCAGGTAATATGTATGGCAATGAACATCATCTTAATTATAGAAGATCCTATAGAAGCAAACGCTGGATCTGGATTTGGGGTTTTCAACTAATCAAGAGAGGAAGGATCCTTTTTGCTTTAAGACTCGTGCTTCCAGGCTTTTCTTATCTCCGAGCTCTGAAAGCTGGAGCATCCCAGCCGGTGGAATTGAGGAAGGTCAATCCCTGAAAAACCAAACAACCAGAAACGGATCTTCCCCAGTCCCCGCTAGTTCGAAAAAATTCAAGCAAGCCGTATAATTGGAACAACATGTTTCGGGTTTCCAGGTGTTTCGTGTTTCAAGCCGTGTTTTGTTCTGGTTTCCAGGGCCCTCCACGAATCCACCCTATGAACGAGCTCCGATCTTCGGTCCGACTACGGACCCTGTATTCGACGGGACACGCGGTGGTCGGGCGAGGTGGTCGGGCGCCGTGGTCTACACCCGAACTTCTTCGATCCACAACGGGGGGCATCATGTTCAGAGGAACGAGGATCATATGAGGTTCTCCGGAGAAGCATCACTTCTCCAACTCTTCCCATTTGCAGTGGTTTGAGGTTGGGCAAATATTGGGCAGGTATTCCAACTTCTTATTGAAGTAATTACACGCATTTGCACAGTGTGACACGCATGTGCACTCACATATCATATGAGAGCCGCCGTTCTTCTGGACTATGCACCTCACCTCATCCCTCCACCCTTCGCTTCCGGACCACCGGACCGCAGGGCGGATCGCCGGAGAGGGAATGGAGCTGGGAGGAGGCGCCGATCGACCCGGGGCATGAGCTGCGTCGTAGTGACCTGGTGCGTTTTTTTTTTTTTTTCGGGTGATGCTGGTGTCTTTATACGTATATTATATAGTTAATGTATGATTTGTATGTGATTGTCCTGGTTCATCCATTGGTTGCGTTGGTTGGTGCCCACAACTTGAGCTTCACTTTTCACAGACAAACTTCTATTTGTTGGGAGGGGTCTCGCTATGAACATATGCAAACCCAAGAGTAAAGCATCATGTATTTGGAACATTTGGCACATCCATCGGTGGTACCACGGGACGGCTCACGCAGCCTAGTACGTCCTTTGGAACAACAAAGAGAAAACACATGTTATGCAGTTTTTAAAAGTTCACACTCTTGAGGACATTCTAATATATATTCTACAAAGCCAAATCCCGTTGTTTCAACACAGCCCTGGACCTTAAATAAATAGGCATCACAAGTAACTAACACATCTAACACCCTCACTGGGGAATACTTACATGCCAGGCGTTCACAATGTAAACCATGGTCACCACGTGTTACCACCGTAGGTAAGTGTTTGCCACTTTCTCCTTGAGCATCTTCAGATGCCGCAAGTTGACATCAGCACTTGCTCGGTACTTTCTCGTGGCGTCCCGACGCCCGAACGACCCGAGTTTCGGCACATCGCCGAAGGACGCGAACGACGTGTGCAGGTGGAGAAGCATACTTCTACAGAGGATGCCTGGTTGGTCATCGATGGGTTGCTTTGGCATGAAAGCCATCGTTGTAGCCGTTTTGGTTGAATACGCGCGTGAGTCGTGATCAGAAGATTCGCGACTTGGAGGGGAGTCATCCCCCTTGGGGTGCGCTTTGTTTTCGACCGTCCTTTAGGCCTTTTGTTTTTTCGCTGCGCTGCTTTTTCAGGACTCCCTTCGATTCACCGACGCCTGAGGCGAGTCTATGATGTCACCGACTTTGCCCCGCGGCATCCAGGCGATGCAAAAGCGGATGCGAACGCGAGAAAGCAAAGCACGTCGCATGGAGACCGAACGAACAGAGGTTCGTCGTTCTTCATCCGTTTTTCCACCAAAAAACACGTAGAAAAGAGGGGGGAGTACTGAGTAATGCTGAGTATTGTCAGTACTGAATTGTTTAGCTCAATGTTGGACCCGCTCAACGGAATCATTATCTGAATGTGTTGAACTGTGGCCTTGACAGCTTCTGGCTGGAATTGAGTTTGGCACAGCCGCTGGAAATCCATTTGGCCAGGCCATTGGAAAAGCATTTGACTCGTGCCACTATCAAACAAGTTAGTAAAATGGAAGGGAATGACATGGACTGCCACCCCTCTCTGAGCGCAAGTGAGTGCCGACGGCCTTCCGGATCGGCCCCTCAGCCGATCCTAAACTGGGATGCTTCCCGAACTTCTTCCCGGAAGCGGCTGCTTCGTGCAGGAACCACTTTAGTCAAGCTTGGTGTAGAAACCACCTCGATCTGAAGCCAGTTCAAGAGATGCACCTTTCAATCCCTTTAGATCCCTTCAAAACAGGTGGATGTGTCATTTCTGAGTGGTCAGTAGCCATGCAGCCATGCATGTTATCAAAAACCATGCAGACCATTCCGTTTCCTTCTTTTTTGTTTCCAGGGAAGAATTGATGGGAGTGTGCAGTTGGTGTGCACTGGTAGCATGTACAACCAATGAAGCAACACGACCAGCAACAAAAGGGTGTACCTCAATGCTCTGTGTAGTGCAAACCAATGGATATGCCGACTCAACAGCAGCAACCCTCGATCCACCGATGCGGACCTTTTCTCACTCCATGGCAGCCACGTGAAGGCTAGACAAGGGGCCCCTTCATTGGGCCGAGAGGTGACCGAACGTCCGGAGCATGAACTCACATGTACCCTCATGTTCGTGACTCTCAAGTTCATGAACTGCATCTCCAAAATTTTCTTTTGAGTTCATGATCCTCCTACCGATCACCTGCGAGGGTGTGGTCCTCGAAGCTTGTCGCTGCTTCTTGGCCGAAACGATGAAGTTCGGATCGAACTTGAGCTGCCAAGTGCGGTGGCGCAAAAAGAAAGTCAGGCTGTCTCTGCAATCGCCCTTCTTCTTTGTCAGCGCGTCACCTAAGTTCCAATCGCTCGCAAGCCAAATCAACTTGGTGAGGCAGAATCGAATGGCTTGCTTCAACTGGTATGCCTGTATGGCAGCGCGCATGTTCGACAATCCCAGCAGCGGTGACTCATTCACCATGACCGAATCGAACCCTCCTTTCGAATCGGTCCCAAGCACACCAGGGACCAAACGGACCTGAGAGTCCGCAAGGCTCAGCAAATCCCGGCCCTTGAAGATGGAGCCGGTGCCGTGCATGCCTGCCCATAGCAGCCTGGTTCTATAGACCACATCTTCTGTTTCAACAATCGCCTGCATTTCGGCGTCGTTGGTGCCGATCGCCACCCTTTTCAACTTCCAGCTGCGCCAAGCCACCAAGCACATTGGTGTGGGGACGCCCTTGAGGGCATCAGGACCTGACAGGAAAACTGTCATGCCTCCCGTCGACCCTCCACGGGGTCTGTTGTTGTGCGCCTGGTCCCCCAGGCCAACCACACACAAATCCGTCCAACGGCGAACGCCAGGCAACTTGAAAAACTTCAATGTTGAACCCTCCTTGCGCAGCTCGCGAATCATCTCTTGAAGCTCCTGAGCAATCTGGATCTTGGGATCCGTCGAAAGCTCAGTGATGAGCAAATTGCAGCGAGCAGTGATAAGCGGTTGTGACTGGACCGCCAACCACTGCAAGGCACCAAGTGATGTCCGACAGGCGGCAATCTCTTTGGGAGTCATGGTGGATGATCCGTTGCTGAACCAAGTGGGGTGCACATCAACGTCCTGCAACATTTCAATGTAAAACTGTTGATCCACCACAAGACATCTCCCAAACTTAGCGTCCTTCTGCATGGACAAATCTGTACCTGCATGGCGGTAGCTGTTCTGCTTTGCTGTGCCCCAACGATATTGTTTGTCAATGGCTGTTTTGATCTGTGTCCAACGGCTGTCCTTGACATCGCCAGCACGGTGAAAATCATCCACATGACCAGCCATGAAACCGAGGGGACGCAGCTTGAAGTGCTCAGGATCCGTGGCAGGATTGTAGGCTTCATTGTCCACAAACCAAATCCAAAAACAAGCATCGCCCTGAATGGACACAGCTCCCAAGTCACGGAGGCTCTTGTCAACATTCTCCCATAGATTTCTGGGTGCAGTGGTGCTTCCATAGAAGTTCTTCAAAATGCGCATCACACCATGCTCAGGAATCTGGAGAGCGTCCCTGAGCTCCTTGACACCCGTTGTCCACAGACGCTTGGACTCTTCAGTAGGGAGTGTTTGCAAAAAGGCGGTGCTCATGTCAATGCCTTCAATGTCCCAACCCTCCTCCATCACCAGCTGATATGACAAGTTGCGAGTGAGAACTGCTTGCGCTGGTGAAGAGGTACGATGGCTTTCATGAAGTAGATCAGGATGCTCAAAGCCAAGCAAAACAATTCTTGCCTTAGCTTTCTTCTTGCCATCGGATGTCAGGGTCGTGGAATCAGGCTTTGATGCCACTTCTTGAAGAGCTTCTGCCATGCTCTCCTCAGGAGTGGGCTTCCATGTGAGAACCCACCGGCAGCGCATGATGCGCCCAGAGTCCCAAGCCTCATGCTCTTCGCGACTGTCGAGGCAACGACGAACAGCCACATTGGTCAGGAAGCTGTTGACCTCCTTGGACTTGGCGCGAGCAAAGAGTTCACGATGTGCGGGCGAAAGCTTTTCCAACCTGACTTCACAGTCACGGAGCTTCTGAGCCAAGAACAGTGAAGGGTGCTTGACGAAACGCTCCTTCTCTCTCTGGGACTTGAAGTCCAGCTCAATGTCCAAGATCCAACCTTCTTCGCACATCTCCAAGGTGTGGAAGATCAGGGCATCGGAGTCCAGGCGAGCCTTCTTGGAGTCAGGCTCAGCGGCTGAAGCACTTGCCTTGGAGCTATCCGAGGACAAGGAGATCAAGGGCTTGTTGTCCGAGAGGTTGGTGAAGCGTTCACCTAAAGTTGGGATGCCACTCCCAATGCCAGTGCCGGTCACTTCCTCAGTGTCATCTGGTTCAGCGTGAGTTGGCTGATCTTCATACTCATTGAGAGGTGCTTCTGAGGGAGTGTACTCCAGAGATGGAACGGCCGGTGGAGGTTGTGGTCCATGAAGTGGTGACCATGGGCTCTTCATACGATGTCGTTTCTCTGGAGGCCGTTGATCCTGAAGTGTTGATGGACCAGGCTCATCAGGCAATGGAGGCAACTCAACATCTTCTTCAGTTGGTTCTTCTGGAAGAAGGTCAATGTACGACCGACGAGGCACCATATCAGCCAAGGAGCGCCAGTGAGAAGGATCTTCTGGATTGGAGATCTCGTAGTCAAGGCGTTCACGCTCCGTGACCTTTCTGACCGAGTGCACTGAACATCGATGCATGGCACCGGCCACAATGACCCAGACGATGTGTCGTCTTTCCTCCTCTGGTCGTTGACCGTGGATGACCTCGTGGAAGACAACTCTGCCCGGACCCAACCATTGAGGATGGCCAAGCTTGCGAAGACCCCCTCTGGCACCACCATCTGTGGAATAGCGACGCCAGATCTTGACAAGGTCCATAGGCTGGAAGACTTGAAGAGGTTGCCTCACACGGGAATTGCGAAGCTTTCCAAGAACCAACTGAGATCTCGCCTTTCTCGCAATCTCCTCTGCTTGTTGTCGGTTGGAGAGCAGGGAGATGAAGTCGGTACCTGAGACATCAGGTAAGATCTGTTGCATGGATCTCTCATCCTCTTCTGAGAAGCTGAACTGCTTCCCGTACACCCACTGATGAGGAGTGTACCCCTGCACGACCTCTGTGGCGTTGAGGGAGTTGATGGAGAGAGCCAAAATGGTCTTTGCCGAGAGCGCCGGAAAGGAGAGCGCAGTCTTGGAGGCAACGGTCTTGACCTCTTGGACGGCTCTTTCCATCAGGCCATGGCTCCAGCTTTCTTTTGCTGGAGGTACTTCAATCTGGATGTTGAGGTCGGAGAGGGTGGTTCGAGCTTGGGCACTGACCATCGACTTCGCATTGTCAGAGACCAAAATGGTCATCTTGGGCTTGGAAGCAAGCCAGAGGTCAAAGATGCCCTCTAGGATCTCAGTGGTGTTCTCATTCTCCTGCTTGTAGAGATCCATGGAGCGTAGGATCTTGCCAGCTTTGAAGTGGGTGGCAAAGTCCATCAGAACCAAAAGCTTGTACTTCACCTTGCTGTTTGGTGGAGTCCATTCAGTAGTGTCCATCCCCACCATTTCCCAAGCCTTTGGAAGCGGCCGCAGGGATGCCGGCGGAATCTTGCAACTGGAAGTGCCGCCCATCTTCAAGGCTTTGCAATCATCACATGACAGCTGCAAGGCTGCCTCAACCTTCCAGCGGGGTTGACCAGCTTCCCGAATGATGCGGGCCAGGTTGTAGTTGTTGGGATGTCCGGCTGCCTTGTGGTACTTGAGCAGCTGGATGTCCCACTGTTTGCGAAGTTCTGCATTGGGCTCATCATCATCCTCCAGCTCTTGAGGCATTGCTTCGAGCTGAAGTGACTGGATCTGCTCTTCTCCTGTCATGTGTGCCGCAACGGGAGATTGAAGACGATCAAGCCAGCGAGCTGGATAGAGTTCGGCTCGCCAGTGCTGAGCAATTGACTTGCACATCTTCCAAGGGTAGTAGGCGGACCGGTTGGTCTCAACTCCTTGGATGTAGTCGTGGTCGTGGGATCCAGTGCAAGTCTTGGCTCGATACACAGTGAAGAAGTGTCTCGAAGTCGTAGCGATGGTCCACTGCTTTCTCAAGGGAAGGCCCTGCTTGGAGAGTAGGCCATAGCGGCAACCATCAATGCGAGCAAAGAGCCACTCCTTGTTGGCCTTGATCATCTCATGACCCAACTGCTGAATCATAGGCTCATTCCAACCATAGCATCGAGTGGGCCATTCCCAGAAGATCTCGAGGTTGGGGTTGTGCTGCACGGCTGAAGACAGGAAGGGAATCAGCCGACGGAACATGGCTCGTTCCTTCCGTCGGTACTTCTCAAGGATCTTCTTCTCTTCGACGGTCTGGTAGTTCAGGCTGGTGAATGGACACCAGTAGGTGCACCTGGAAGAGACCCAGATGCGACGAGGCCGTTCTCTTTTGAACTTGTCCCAAAGCTCATCATAGGTGTCGGCACGGTACATGTCGAAGTTCTGGTGGAGATTGATGCGGGAGGCAGTCAGTCCTTCAGAGTGACAAGCCGAGCTCAACCAAGAATCGGGAGCGCAAAAGATCTCCCAGACATCGACTTGCTGGTGGCCACGAAGCAAAGTGCTCAGGTCATTCTGGGCCACCAAAAGGAGCATGCTACTCAAGGCCATCACGGCCTGGCAAATTCTCCAAGGAAGCACGGAGAGTCCAGATGAACGGGACGGTGGTGAAGAGAGCTGCTCTTCCATCTCCTGTGCGGGTGAAAACGAAGGCGAACCATGGAGTGAGGTGGTTCTTGATGAAGTTGAATTCAAAACAGGCTTGGCAGCTCGACGAGACTTGCCACGGCGAGAGGACTTGTTGGACTTGCCCTCATCGATCTTCAAAAGCTCAAACTCCACAGTCTCACAAGTGTACTCCTGATCGGGAACCTCAGAAGCTGTCTCAGCTGTGGTGTCAACGAATTGATGCACCTTCGGTGGAGCGTCAGAGAACTGAACCTTGTTCGCGAACTGTTCGATCTGGAGCTCCGGCACGGTGGTGCCGAGTGTCTCATCTAGCCCAGATGGATCACTGGACTCTTGGCCTTTGCCGGTGTGATCTCCTCCACTTCCAAGTCGGACCCGGGGCTGAAGGGAACCATCTCCGATGCCGAGCTCTGTCCGGCTTGGCGTTGAGATGCCAGGTTGCTGATGTGGTCCCACTCCTCTGGCGTCAAATGGGCCAGAATTTTCTCCGCCTCCGTGGCCTTGGTGGTCTTCTTCTTGGAGCCGGTGTAGAGGATCTCGAGGCTGTTCAGCATTCCCTGGGCTTCGGCTTCCATGGTGGAGATCTTGGCCTTCATGGCCCGGATCTTGTCCATCGCTTCCACATAGTCGTAGGTCTTCTCCATCTCGTAGTCCGGAAGTGTGCCCTTCGGAATGCCCTCTTGGATCATGGTCAGAGCCTTGGCCACAAAGGTGTGGTCCTTGTGAACCACTGAGCTTGCCGGAGATCCCTGACGTGGGATGTACTCCATGCGGAGAGCACACACGGCGCACTTGGCCCATGAGCCATGAGCGTTGCTTCCAGTCACTGAGGGCACGTGCTTGCCGAGACACGGCCAGCATGATGGCTGAGCTCGAGGATCCTTCACGTCGTGACCCTGACGACGTTCTGGGTCCAATGGGGTCGCGGTCTTGTACCCCTTGGAGGATTTGGCCATCAGATGTCGAGGGAGCCGTCAATGAGGTTGAGCCAACTTGACAGCCCAAAGCTGCGGAATGCGACTGCTCATTCAAAAGCTTCCGGCGTTGAAACAAAAGCTCAAAACCAGTGCTCATGGAAGTGCTCTGCTTGGTGACATGGACATCAGCTGCTGAATCATGACAAGAAGCACTCTCGTTGACAGCAAGTTCAAACCACTCACCACTGGGTCCTCCAACCTGCAGCTGCATGCCAGCGGTGAAGGTCTCTAGAGCCTGAGAGCCGATGGAAGGTTGACCGAACAGGTACTGACCGATGTCGACCATGAAGTGACCCTTGGTGTTCTTGGACATGATGAAGGGTTCAGCTGAAGGGTCCATACCAAACACTGCATGACCATCTTGGAAATCCAGGATGAGGCCGACCTTGGTGAGGAAATCCATACCGACCAGAATTGGGACCAGCATGTAGTCTTTGAAGGACTTCTGGTAATACTCCGTGGGATTCGGCAGGGCAAACACCTCAAAGGACTTGTTGGGGTTCATGGATGCGCTGATGGAGGCAAAGTACATGGCTTGTCCCCAACGACCTGAACCATACCTGAAAAAGGGTCTTCGCTCCACATCGATGGTGACCTTCAACTGTGGATCACTTTCACGCAGCTTGGCGATCAGCTTTTTGACAGAAGCTTCAGGTCCAGCCGAGGCCGTGGCCCCGCAATCCAACATGCCAAATCCTTCCGGGATGGCTCGAGGAGCTGGAGTCTCATTGGAGGTGTAGAGCTCCAAAGGAACTGCTTCCATCGTCTCATGGAACTCAAGCGTGTGGAGCTCCATCATGCTAAAATCCATCCCACCATAGTCCATGCCGTAGACATTGACAGTGGAACGAAGCTTTCCGCCCTTGCCAGCGCTCTTGTTCTTGCCCTTATGGGTGTACATCACATCCCAAGGCGCCATGTAAGACTCATCCCAGGAAGACATCATTTGATCTTTCCCTTTTCGCATGCCTTTCCCCTTGCCCTTGAAGAGGTAGGCGTCCAGCTCTGCTGGACTCAACTGCTTTCCACCACCTTTGCGGTACTGCGGATGTTGACGGTCAGGGCATTCACGAGCAAAATGAGGACCTGAACAGATGTGACAGCGGATGGAACCCTTGCCACCTTTGGAGGATGAGGTTCCTGCAAACTGCCCAAAACCACGGTCACGTCGAAGGGCTGTTGTAGCCTGCTGAGCTTGCGACCAGGTTCGACGAGCTTCAACTGCCAAAGCCTCTGCGGCCTTCTCAGCCTCCAAGGCTTCTTGGAGTTCAGGATCATCATCAGTGGTTGCAGTGTTATCCACTGGGTCGTTGACAGCTTGGGGCCAAGCACCAAATTGGTCCATGGACTGCCAATCCGCCTCATGCCAATCCTCAGTGTCCCACGAGGACTCGTGCCACGCAGCATTGTACCAAGGATCTGCGGTCTCAACCCAATGTTGTTGCAACACTGTACCTTTGGATGCTCCATGATGATGGTTGAGCTGCTCATCCCATAGGGTTTGGAGAGCCTCAGCGATGGCCGGATAGTCGAGCTTGTTGCCAGTGCTAGCTAGGATGTCTCTCCATTCATCATTTGTAAGGCTTGCTGCAACAAGTAGTCTCCAACCACGCAAAACATCTAAAATAAATGAATCCATAGGACCCAAACCATCAATCATCCTATATTGCTCTGTCCTGCGAGAAGGGCTCCTTTGGGCTTGACGATTCCGGTTCGGCGACCCCGCCGGTGAGTGAGGAGCTGCTTCCTCACCTGCATCGGATGTTTGTGGAACTGCTGTATAACCCTCAGGGGCATCAACTGTTTGTTCAACCTGCTCTTCAAAAGGGGTTTCCTCCCAATCACGCCAGCGTTGATCTCGATGCCAAGGGTTGTAGTAGCGTTCACCTTTGTCTGAGGTCTCGGAGGTGGTGATCTCAGGCAACTCAAACAAACGATCAGCAGGGGAGATTCCGTCTTTCTCCTCTTTGAGCTGTAGCAAGGCCTCTTGGAATTCCTCAAAACCCAATGTTTCCCTCACAAGGAATTGTGCAATGCTTTCTCCAGGCCGTCGTTGGAACATGAAATAGGATGACATCGTCGCAGCAGCGTTCGGGAGACTGCTCCTCACCAAAGGGGATGAGGCAAAACGCCTCAACATGACTTGAACTCCTTCTTCACCTTCAAAATCCCTTTGGTGCCAGGACATGGAAAGGAGGCGAGCGGCACCCGACAACCGACTGATCAGTTTGGCAGCGACGTACTTCCGTTGGGAACTCTTCGTTCCAGAAAGATACCATCCAACTTCCTTGCAATAGCGGCGCCAAGTCTTCGAGGAACCGTCCCAGCTAGGCACCTCATTCAACCGATCCTTGACGTCCGCCATGACCCTGGAGCTAACTCTGCTCCGCTACCAGTGCAGTTGGTGTGCGCTGGTAGCATGTACAACCAATGAAGCAACACGACCAGCAACAAAAGGGTGTACCTCAATGCTCTGTGTAGTGCAAACCAATGGATATGCCGACTCAACAGCAACAACCCTCGATCCACCGATGCGGACCTTTTCTCACTCCATGGCAGCCACGTGAAGGCTAGACAAGGGGCCCCTTCATTGGGCCGAGAGGTGACCGAACGTCCGGAGCATGAACTCACATGTACCCTCATGTTCGTGACTCTCAAGTTCATGAACTGCAGAGTGCTTTGTAGACCTTGAGATGTCTTGACTCACCTCAGTGGCTTTGCTTCGACCAGCGCCGGTGTGTGCAGCGCCGTCCGGTCGCGGCGTCCGTCGCAGGTGGTCCTGTGGTTTTCAAGCGCCTTGGCGGTGGAGGTAAAGCTGGAACTGGACGATTTGGCCGATCCATTGGGGTCCGACGTCGACATGGATTGTTCGGACATGTCCAGCATCAAAAAGAACTATGAATTCAAAGCCAGGTGGCAGAGAAAGGCATACAGTATATGTTTCTCCCATCACTTCTGAAAGTGTGGGACCAGGAAAGTCTTTGGGTTCTGCAGCGTCCAGGGGCCCTGGGGTTGCTGCGTCTTGGGATATCACGTGAGATCAACGTCTCCACGAGGACGCCGCCGCGACGTCCCGTAGTACGTCCGCTCGGGTCCTTCACCCACTTAGCGGTCGGGTCGCGCGGGGAGGCGAAGCGGACTCAAGCGCCAAAGGCTCCAAAGGGGCTTGACCAATATAGACATCTCAACTCCTGGGGACCCTTCCTGGTATCGTGGGCTTATTTAAACCATTTACTTTTTGTTGGGGCACCTGCGCCATCGCTCGTCCGAGCCGCCGGCCCGCCGGCCCACCACCTGAGGTTCGTAGGTGTGGATGCGAGCGATCAGTTCGCGGCCTTCCACCGGCCACGCGTCTACGGACGATTGCAACAGTTTCTCGTCGGACAGGCGCGGCAAGGACACGTGTCCTCTCCAGCAGCTCTGCAGTGTGTGTCGACGTCGATGTGTGTTGTGGTGCACGTCTGTGTGTAACGACACACGGTGGCCAAAGACCGCACACCCATGTGTGTGGGGTGAGAGATCAAAACAAAATATTTAACGGATCAATAACAAAATATTCTACACGCATCAATAAAAAGTATTTACTGACTCAAAAAAACAATATTCCAAATAGCAGTAGCAGTGGAGTTTTTGATGTGGATGTAGAAGTGTAGAGTTGGTGGCAGGTGCAGGACTTTGTGGGCCTTGGAGTGCAGATTTCGTGGCAGGCGCAGGAGTTTTTGATGTGGAAGTGTAGGTGTAGTACTTTGTGGATGTTGAACTGCAGATAGAAAGATAGAAAAATAAATGGATCGATAGATACATAGAGAGATAGAGGAGGCATATTTGCTTGGTTAGAAAATTTTGCACCGGGGAGTTCACCTTAAAATATTGATTTCGTGGCAGGCGCGGGTGCCGGGGATGAAGTGCAGATTTCCTGGCGCGGGGGGGTTGGGGGGGGGGCGCAGCCCCCCCCCCAGCAGCACACCAGATCCAAAGGTGAGCAGCTCGTGCTTGCTTGCTTGCTTCCTTGCTTGCTTGCTTCCTTGTTTGCTTTGCAAAACACATATCGAATCCACGAAGGACCAGAGGACCAAGGGACTAGCGGACCAGAGGACCAGAGGACCAGGGGACCAGCGGACCAGAGGACCGGCCACCTACACGACTGGGAATTCCAAGGGATTTCATCGCACAACGAATATTTTTTTATTGATTCAGTAAATATTTTTTTTTGATTCGGTAATTTTTTATTGATTCGATAAGTATTTTTTGATACCTATGCCATGTGTGTGTGTGGTGCACATACATATATATATATATATATATAGCGCACGGCAAGAGCCCGAGCAGCTTTGAGGTGGAAAAGAACGGCGAAAGCACCAGTTCTGTTGGAAGGTGTTTGTTCGATTTCAGGGACTGATGGTGAGTTCCACTGCTTCAAGGCAAGTTCTTCCTTAAAAGTTGGTGGCAAGTGACCGGCTCAAAAGATGAACACGTGGAGGTGAAGTACTCTTCGTTTAGTGGCGTGCATGACAGGGTGCTACTTATAGCGGTTCTTGACTATTAACAACCCTGAGAAACCACGGGGCGAAGGGGGGGAGGCGATGGGTTGTGACCCACCGGATGAGCCCAGACTAGTCCACCTGGAGCGGCGAGCTTGACCTTCCAGGCAACCATGGTGTCCTGGTTTTGACCCTCTAAGTATACTGGGTTTTATTTTTAGTCCATGTAGATCATAGCTGATCATGTCTGTGGGGGGTGCAGATGGATAGCTCCGAGCTGGTCCATATATGTGTCCATCTCTTGGTCCTACAGGTAAGCTAAGCTTCTGTGTTGGGTTTGATGGGGCTGATTGTTTAGTGGGCCATTGGCGTTCACCTGTAGCACTCCGACAGGTCATTGATGACGACAAGCACTTGCCAAGCAAGGCCACAGCAGATTATCGTTCCTTGGATGAAGAGGAAAGACCTGACTGCAACTCTGCAGAAGACAGATTTGTTCCAAAATTGCAGTGCTCTTCAGATATTTTTTGGGACCCAAACACCTCCATCCAACATAGAACACCCCTTGACAGGCTCTTGGGACCAAAACATTTCACCGCAAACTCCGTCAAATGGTTTGGATATGTTTGGATGTTTGTTGCTCTGTGTATCCAGGCAGTCTTCAGACCGGACATTCGGTGAATTGTCCTCGTTCCGTCGGTGTTTTCTCATCTCCCCACATCTGTCCAACAGGGTGGGAAACATCGGGAAACCGTTCAAGAAAACAAAACACAAAAACACGCAGTTCGGACACCTTCGACAGTCCTGCCTGGCTAGAACGGGCAACGAAACATGCTTACATCTGCAATCTGCTCATCGGATGTGGTGTGCAGGGGCACCCAGAAGAGTTCGAACTCAGGTGCATTGCGGAAGCGACTTTGGCGTGAGGGTTGGTTCGCTCCAGATCTCTCGTTTTATGCCGCATCCTTAGTCGCGCGGAGCCTGGGCGCTCGGCGCGGAGCCTGGCACCATGCAGATGGAGCAGCTGTCGTTGAGTCTTTTTTGAGCTTTGTTGAGATTGTTGGATGAGGTCTGCCCATGTCTGCACAATGAAAGAACATATACCAGGGGCCCCAAGGGGTGTCTATTAGTAGCCTAAAGGGATCCAAGTAGGGATCCATTAACCAGCCCTTGTGGGTCCGAGTATGTAGAATTGCCAGTTGTTTAGCTCAATCACGGATGGACATTGGGCCTGCAACCCAAGACCCCCCTGCAATGTCCATGGAAACAAAGGAACATATTTAAAAAAAGAAACAGCAAACATATGTTTGCTCCTAATTGCTATCCTTTGCAAGCCATCCTGCAATCCTTCGCCATGTGTTCTCGCATCGCACATCGCCTCTGAGGTGAACAAAGCAATAGTTTGCGTTCTTCTTTTTGCTCTAGCCATCGGGTTGGTGACTCTGGAAGCTCCAACCTGGAAGCTCCTGCGCACCCTGTTGGCAGGAGCGGTGCCTTGCTTGCACCACATACGAAGACACGGATCGTGTGGTGCTTTGTGTCTCCTTACTTTCAGGAAGCGGTCCTTTTCTTCATTGTTCTTCCAAAAGGAAGATCAATGCCATATATTATTATAGTACTGTAGCAAAGATAAATTAACAAGTTCCACCACACATTGCTCACATTCCTATACCACAAAGGAAAGCAGCCTGATGACGACCTTTCCCTTGCCCGGTGCTATTTGGAGCTACTCGTACCTACTATAGAAAATCAACTGCTTTGAAGACCCCAGCCAGTTGATTCTGTGGTTCTGCAGTCTATAGGGGACTTTTGCTATCTTTTGCTTGGTTGGTGGCTGATTGAAGAGGTACAGGTCAGCCACACACGCACACATGGTCCAGCTTGGCAGAATCTTTTGGCCCTGAATGGCCCTGATAATTCTCCACAACAGTGCAGAGGAGGTTCCTCTTCATATTATATCCATACAATCTATGCATGGTTACTGATTTGAAAACCAAGCACATTTGCTTGAAAACGAAGCATGCCGCCCCCTAAACACACCTGGTTTCCCCCCTGGCCGCCGCCACCCCCACCGAGCCAGCTCAACCTCAACCTCTCCCTTCGACGCCGAATCCGCGTCGGCAGACGCGCGCCAATTTGCACCGGTCGGTCGTGTGGCCCAGGTTCTCGGGATTGCGTGGCAACAGGTGGCGTTTATGGCGCACGATGCCGATCACTATGGACCGGCCACCCCCCACGTCCTCGCGATCGCTCGCTTATTTGGGTGCTGTCCTCGTCCTCGGTCGGTGGGATCTTCGGTGTGTTGATGTTGTTCTGTTGTCCTTTTTGGGGGGGAACTGAACTTCTTTGATTGTATTCTTCTCGTGGTTTTACTGAGATTTGGAGGAGCATTGGGTCCCCCGGTTGGTCGTTTCATGTCTTTTGTGTTCGGGGGTTGCAATTAGAGTTTGGTCCAGGATGACGACATATTGGCGACGTTCACAAGTTTTGCTCAGTTGTTTCTTGTTAAGCCAATCCACGTCGATTGATTTCTGTTCGCGTTGACATGGAATCCATGCCAGAAGCTTGCTTTTTTGTTTTTCTACGTTTCGTGACAGATACTCTTGCCTCTTGCCATCTCTTGCCTTCCTTCATCTATTAGGAATATTAGGGTAAGTGTGGAAGACCAGGGTGGAACAGAGCTACACCCGCTTGGGCAGGAAGAGATCTCTTCAATCGATGACTTTACTCAAGTTTCTTACTAAGTCGACATGGGGATCTGTCAATAGAATGAATTGGATTCAATTGGCATTCAATTATAGAGGATGTGTTGTATTTAGATTACTGTAACATCTTTGAGGCAAATTGTAAGAAAGGCATAGGGGGCGTTCAGTTGATGATAAGACATTTAAAGCAGCTTATTTGGGGACTCCAAACCCAACGCAACCCCGACCGGTGCCGCTCGACCGACCCGCGCGACCGGCACACGGACGAGGAATTACGACTCCACGAAGTGGAGCCTCGTTCAATCCATTGGCGCCACTTGGACGAACCATTTGCGCCGGGACGACACCAAATAAGGCTGTGTCATAACGTCAGTTTGTGTGATGGCGTGGCGTGTGGAGTGTTCGTTGTGATTGTTGCTGTTCTTTTTTGGTGAACAAGACCAGAGTTGAAGCGGTTGAAGGGTGTTCGGGATGTTTCATCTGTTTTGCTTGCAAGAAATTGTAATGTCAGAAGTTCAGAATTCTCAAGGGGGTCAGATGGTGAACTTCGCTCGCCATGGCCGTTTGGTGTTCCTTTACAAACAATCCCTGCCTTGAGAGGGAGAGAGGGGACAAATTCTGTAAACTTTCTAGGCAAAATACTCTCGTATGAGTTCTTGTAATATCGTATACCGTATACCAGTTCCAAAGGGGTGCTTAGTGCCCATTATCCACTCACTTGGAAACTAAACACCACCCCTTTGCGACTCCTGGTATAGAGTATAGATACAATGTTGCTTGCCTTGAATGATTCTACAATATTCTATAAATCAAGTCTTTGCCTGCATCCAGAGGTAAAGAACTGTTGTTAACAATTCTGTACAGTCCCAATGTGGTAGGCAAGCGGTGACCTTCAACAAAAACACAATATATATATATATATATCAATATATCAATCTGTAGAAAGCCTATACAGATACAGTAAATTACTAGGTCCCCTATGGTCCCCTCCTTTGCTTCTCAGAAGCAGGAGTCTTCTGTTCCAGGCGGCACCCGCTCCACCGGTCCCCGGATAGTCGCCCAGGTGGTTCCTTGCAAGCGTGTTGTTCGGAATCTCCAGATGCATGTGGAATGAGGACGCGCCATGGCGCACGCCATGCCATTGTGAAGCATTTTAGCAACCTGTCAAGACCACGAACCGTCTTGTAGCACAGGGGATGTACGATGATATGATGATGATGATGATGATGATGATGATGATGATGATGATGATGAT